TTTTAATTTGAAACGAGTACATCATCTTTCTTTACATGCTATAAAAAGTGTATCAGTCGGTCACAAATAAACTTTGGTACATCTCCTCCACAGTCAACAAACATAACTCANATATATATATATATATACACACATAAATACATACATACACACACATAAATACATACACATAGACATATGTACACATACGTACACATACATACACGCACATATACGCACATACGCGCACACACACACACACACATATATAATCTAGAAATATCACTGATATTTCATGGTAATAATGTAGCATCTCATATGTATTCAAGAATTACCAGTCTCAGTATACAACATAACAAATCTATCAATTCTCTGAAAATGTAACCCTGAGGTTTTTCTGAATCCTAACACTACACAGATTTATACCGTATTTAGAAAAAGATTGCGCCTAAAAGATTGACATCTTTCTCTATGGACACATAACTAGCAAATATGCAGGTCCCTCCGTGAATCAGATAATGGAGAAAGGATGATGCTGTTTAGAGGCTGCAGATATAAATCAAATTGTAACATACCTGTGAACAAGTGACTCCACATTCTTTAATCCTAGGAATGAGCTGATAGCCATATGTTCCATAAAATATTGCAAAAATCTGCCACATAAACTTCATCTTTGGGATTGTTAAGCTTTTTTTAAAAAAGTTATTTTCTTTTCTGGTTTTTATTATGGTGACTGTCCTAAAGAAATAGCTGTTCTACTCTGACAAGGGATTTAAATAGTGTAATAGTCCCACCCACCAACCCCAGTACCTATGAAAAGAACTCCTCCTTTTAGTAGAAATCAACATGAAAATGAGTCATAGGGAAATTCAGATGTTACTGGAAGCTATAACATATTCTAGGCTTTCTCTGAATTTAATAGCTTTAATTTTAAACCAATATTGTTTTGTTTACTGAAGCTACTATGTAAATATTTTCTCTTGTTCCATCTTAACATAATTATCAATTGATCCTTACAAGGACAGATATAATTGTGCAAGAACGTTTGTGAAGATATAATAAGTAACAGACTTCTAACTGAAACTATTTCATTTCTATTTTATGTAAGTTGATGCCTAGAGCTTATTACAGGCTGTTAGTAATATGCCACAGTTGTAAGTGACCATGAAAAAAGATATTATGGACTTGATTCCTCCCGCTTGCACTTTTGTTCCTTTTTTTTTAATGTGGTTTGCTTTATTTTTGTATTTCCCCTTTTCCCCAAGTATTTCAAGATACTGTAAACAATTATTTTTCCCAACATTTCTAAATGAACCAAAATTCTCATGAGTCAGGTTAGGGTGAGGCTTTGTCTGCCTCAGAGGCAAAGCAGAAACTTCAGTTCCCAAATAGAAATGGACATCTCAAATATTTTATCCAGAGAGCATTGGGACAGAGTTCGTTGCCTCGAGAGACCCATAATTTAATTATAAATTTAAGAGACCTCAGAATGGAATTTGAGGCAGGAGACAAGCATTTAGCAGTCTTTCAATTGCATGTATTTAGTAAGCTATGCTTAGTAACATAATAGAATTTAGGAGCTGTGTGAAAGGGTTGATCGAGAAGATGAGCTTTCTAAGAACTGCATTCCCAAAATATGCAAATATTGGTTAACCAAATCATGATTGAGTAAATACATTTATTCAGACTTGTCCAAGACAAATTAACCATAGGGGCTGGATTTGCATTTATATACTTGCAAAACTAACCAACACCACTGTAGTACATTATGTGTCATGCAACCTCCGCAATTATCTAATTTTGCCTCGAGGGATTTCAAGGTTTCAGACACACTGGTTCATCGTACTACAAGAAAACAGATCCTGCAACAACAGGGTTGGCCTCCAACTATTACCTAAAAAGTCTACTGCTAATGCAATGCCTGCTATAATCAAATCAAAGAGAAACATCTTCCTTATATCATGATAATATCGTTTCTTCCCCTTATTCACTTTTCTGCCCAGGGGGCCTTCCAATTTAGTTGTAAACACTATTTCAGTTATTAGTGAACTATTTCAATCTACTATTACAGTTTAGTGTTGCCATAGCATATTTTAGTCCAGCAACTCAACTATTTGGTTCTTCTCCTCTACCTAAGCTAACCTAAGACAGGCAAGTGGCTAAAAAAAATGGTTTTCTGACAGCCAGCAAGGAACAGCCAAGTATTCAACCTAACAGTTACAAAAATAAAAGCCAACTCACTCAAAAGAAGGGCCCAAGTATAGAAAGAAAGAAAAGCAACCCCACAAGGGCTTGAACACTGTTTCAACACATAGAGCTTCTTAAATTGCAACACTTGCTGAAATTCTTTGCTTGCGGCTCTCAAGTTTCTTCCTTAAATATTTCTTATCTGAAATTGTGAGCTTCCCAAAATGGTTTATTCCTACCCACAGGGTAAAGTTTGACATGGCCTCCACACATGTTTTAACTTTTCATTTCTCCAATTTCTTGTGGAAAGAAGATTCAGGAGCCGCATTGGGGTAAAGTAAATTTG